CTTTGACCCCTCTGGGTGTTACTTCCATCTGCATAATCCGTGCCACTATGTCCAAATTCATGCTAACAGTGAGGGAAAAGATAATAGGAAGACATGCCCATCCCTTTCTAGTAATATGCATACAGCATGTCTGCTCACATTTCATTGGCTTCAATTTAATTACGTGGCCATAGTTAGCTGCAGGAGAGGCTGGGAAGATATACTCTTTATTCTGAATGGCCATATGCCCACTGAAAAATTCTTACTATAGAAGGGGAAAACTGATATTGGGGAAGAACTAGTAGTCTTTCTGCTGCAAATGAGAATAGATGCTTCTTAATACATGCATGGCAAACATTAGACACTTAACCGTAAATCATTAAAAGCATTTTCATTAACCAAGACAATGACACCTGCTGTTCTCACATTGTTTAGGGAGTTCTGGGCAATGCTAAAAATAATGAGTATAAATTCTGGAAACATATGAATTTTTTGGAAAGAAAATTTTTATTTTTCATTTATAGATATTTACTAGCTAGAAAAATAAACTGAACTATCAAAAGGAAAAGAACGTGCAATTAGTTTGTCAATTTCAATATAATTGTATATAAATTATCATGTACCAGCAATGCCCAACAGAATATATGATAGGTGTGCCAGTTATTAATTTATTGTCTCTCAACCCCCAATACACTCTCTTTGTCCAGCTTTGTGATACTGCAGCCAGACCCTGTAGACATTTCTCTTTTGCTAGCCAATTTGATGTTAATTTTTGCCAACAGATGGTGATGGAAGAACAATATAAGGCCACACCTGGAAAAAAGGGACTTTCAGTTCCTTCTTTCCTGTGTCGTTTTCCACTGGGGACAGTAGAGGGAGGGGAGGGGACCCAGGAGCATCTACTTCAGTAGTCGGCACAGAACATTCTTGGGTCATGCCCTCTAGAAAGTTGCTCAAGCAAATGCAGGAAGGTGTATGTAGAAATGCAGAAAAATTGCAACAATCTAAATGTCCAAGAGTAAGGGACTTTAAATAAAATATGGAACTTCCATGCTATAAAATACTATGCAGCTCGCAAAACAGATGAATTTTATTTATAAATTCTGATATGGAAAAATATCTGTTAGACTTGAAGTAAACAAAACACTTAACATAGAATGATTCCAGATTTATATTATATTCAATGATGTAGAAATGTAGAACAGGCTAAAATGTTAATAGTGCTTGTTTCTGAATGGTCTTATTAGGACTATTTTTAATCTCTAGTTATTGAACAAATACTGTGCCAGAAACCATTCTAGGTGCTGGGAAGTCGGACAGTGAAAACAGCCTGACCTCATGGAGCTTACAGCCGAGTAGAAAGAGACGAACTATTACACAAATGTCAGGTACTAATAAAAGGAAGAAAAACAAGATAAGGCAGAGACATGGCGCGCGCGCAGTTTACTTAGGAAAAGCCGCTTTGAGGTAAGGACATTTGAGCAGAGTGAGGGAGCTAGTTGTGGATATCGATACCTTTATAATTACCCATATTTTCTTAATTTTCTTTTCTACACTAAACGTGCAATACTTGCATAAACGAAACTATCAGAAAAAGATCTGGAGCCCAGATCTCCAGGTCGGGGAATAAGTTAGAGGGTGGTAGCAGGTCCAAATATGCAGACAGCAGAACCCAAAGCTTCCCAAACACGATTTGCTCAAGATTCTCCCCGGTCCCAGGACCGCCGCTGCCCCTGAGACAAAGTTGCTTGTGGGAAAGCGTGGGGTTCCACGGGGGTCAATGTCCCCGCCAGCCGCGTCCGGTTGAGGGGCCCCAGCCGACGCTCTGGGACAGAATCGCCGCAGGAAGCTCAGCGTCCCTTACCAGACGGCATTTCCCAAGTCTCGACGCCCCGCTAGGCGCGACTAAGGTCGGGCAAGGGCGGGATCCAAGAGGCAGAAAACCAGTCTCCTGGGGCTGAGCTCCAGCTCCGGGGCTGTGTCTCCCTTGGTCTTCGACCCACTCTGGATTGGAAAGAGCCGGAGGAAGAAGAGTCCGCCCCAGCGCATCCCTTCCAGCGGAGCGGACGCTCCATCCATGGCTGGGGCAGGCGTCGTCTCTGCCCACTAAGCCAGCCTCTCTTCCCCTTTTCGCCCCTCAGGAGCCAGAGGAGCAGAAAAATCTAACGGCAAAATTAAGGAGAGAGGAAGTTTAGACGCAGACCCCAAACCGTGGGCATGACGTTGATGCGCATGGCATCACTGCGTTCTGATTGGCCAGCCCTGAGAATTCTCCTCGTTCATTGGCATAATGGGCGACGGCCTTTTGAGGGATGCAGTTCCGAGTGCTTGCCGCGGCGCATGCGCGGCGTCGTTTCCCGGCGAGCCCCGCGCGAATTTCCGGCGCCGGGATCTGGAGGCGGAACTGGGAACGCCTGGGTTTTCTGTGGGAGGTGTGTGGCCCGGGGGCGGGACTGGTTACTCGAGCCGCTAGGCTCCCGGGTCGAGCGCGGGACTCTGAGCGGGCGGGGCCCGAGCCCGGTGGCAGAGGCCGAAGGGGGTGCGCCCTACTGGGAGGTGCTGGGGGGATCCCGGGCACTTGCTGCGCCGTCCGCCCCTCCGCCTCTCAGCTCCGCGCAGGCGAGGCTGCTGGGGACGGAGCTCGGGGCTCCGGCCGGGTCTGCGTTCCCGCCTGCCGCATCCAGCCGAGCGACCCTGGTGAGTTCCTGGCCCTCCGAGCGAGCCTCCTCGGTCACTAGAGGATGAGAATGGATGGAGCGCGTACCTTTCAGGGGTGTTGTGAGGAGTACAAGAACAAAGTGCTTAGTGTGTAGTAGAGAAGGACTGGAACCAACCTGAGTACCTCACTCGGGTATTGGTTCAGAAACTGGAGCACATCCGTACCGCAAAATCTCCCAGAGCGGCCAATGAAGAAGCATTGTTAGATGGAAAAACAAATTACAAAATAGTTTGTGCAGTAAGACCTCGTTTATGTGAAAGCACACACAAAACACTTTCTTTCGTTTCAATAAGTACGTTTTTAGTAAATGCACAGGGAAAGGTCTGGGAGGTCATATGTCAAACTTAATGGGAGGGTGCACTGCGTTGTGGAAGGGAGAGTTTCTCTTTTATGTATATCCATATTGTGTAAATCCCTTTTTATTACAATGGTTTGTGTCATTTTTTTAAATTGAAACAAAAAACAATTAAAGAAAGTTCCAAAATACACTTTTCAGGACTTTTGTGAAGAGTAGCAATGTAAGGTATAAAATATGTGTCCTACATTCATTTATACCTGTGTGTAAATGGCTTAGGATGGTATCTGTGAGCCCTTCTCTGACACCCCAGGGTCACATGTTTTGGAATTCTGGAGTATTCAAATTTGAAAAGGATAATACAGTACACATGGTATATCAAGTAACCCCGCCAGCAGAGTCTCGGCCAACACTCAATAATCAAACTTGTTAGTTTTTTCCTGATGCAAACATAGAGTAAGGACAGCTTGATGAATTTTTACCAACTGAACAAATATATTAATATTGCTGCTACAAAACATGAACATTTACATTAAGTGGGATAAATGGAGATTACAAATATGCTCATATCAGTAGGCCAGGTGGTGAATTTGGGATTTCAGAGCTGAGGATTAGGGGCTGTAGACCTGTACAGGTAGGAGAGAGTGTCACATGAGGAAGGCATTACAGGGGAGCCTAAAAAAGGCTTCAGGGCCAGGAAAGTGTGGAAACTGAAGTACCCCTCCAGGCTGGTGTGTGTTCATGTACTGCCCCCTCCTGCTATTTTACTCTTTCCCCAGGAGTGTGTGTCCAGATGCTGGCCTGGCTGCCACAGGGAATCCCTCTGGGAGACTGAAGGCAGGCTCCTGGGCCCAGGTTGAAGCTGACCAGTCCTGAGCCTTAGGCCAGGGGAATGGCAGCTCCCCCGGAGCCTCAGGACCAGACCTCTGGGGAGGGAGAAGGGCTTCTGATCGTAAAGGTGGAAGATTCCTCCTGGGACCAGGACTCTGCCCAGCAAGAGGATAGCAAGGATTCCGAGGCCTGCCGCCAGCGCTTCCGGCAGTTTTGCTACAAGAATGCAGGTGGACCCCATGAGGCCTTCAGCCAGCTCTGGGAGCTCTGCTGCCGCTGGCTGCGGCCTGAGCTGCACACCAAGGAGCAGATCCTGGAGCTGCTGGTGCTGGAGCAGTTCCTGAGCGTGCTTCCTGGGGGTGTCCAGGACTGGGTGCGAGAGCGGTGCCCGGGGAGTGGCGAGGAAGCCGTTTCTTTGGTGGAGGACCTGCAGAAGCAGCCAGTGAAAGCATGGCCGCAGGTGAGGGGCCCCTCCCACATGCAAGGGCACCTGTTTGGCATCTGGGCTAAAAAGAGGTGGCTGTCTCCATAGAGACGAATCTTCCAGGGATGGTGGGAACACAGAGCCAGAGGGAGCAACCACAGGAGCATGTCATAACATGTTGCCTTTCTGAAAGACACTGTCCAAATGAATCTGGGTTTTTTTTGGTGGCTGTGGAGGGCAGCAGTAGGACCAAAGTGGGCATGTTCCAGGAAGACAGGTTTTAGCTACACACAGGTTTTGCAAACGTTTATTCATGTTCTGCTCTAGGCCAGGCCCTGGGGATACAGTGATGTGTGTAGTGAGAGCACCAGAGGGGGCATGAGAAGGTAGAGCTGTCCATGTGAACCCTGCTGTCTTGTGGGGTGTTGGGTCCTTGACACTGGAAGCATCTGAGGAGGTGCTAGTGAATGGCTGCCCTTTTTAAGTGGCTCTGTGATTTTATCCCTTGGGGGACTGGCTCTTGCCCTGTGCCTGATCTGGGAGTGTCCCTGGGCATACTGCCTGTTGTCACATCCTCGTCTGGGTTTTCCTGGGACCCCGTGTTGATTTCCTTCCCCAAACCCTAGCCTCCTGAGGGACATGTCGTGTGTCTCCTTCCCAGGGATTAAACTCTGTCTCCCCCATCTGGTCTCGGTGCTGATGAGCATGTTGTGGTTCCTGCACAGGATGTGCCCTCAGAGGAGGTAGAACCTGAGGCTGCAGTCCAGGGATCCCAGGCCAAGGGGCCTCCCCTGAAGGCAGGGGAGCGAAGCCGGCCACCTGTACTCTGGGAGCAGCACAGCCATGGTGGTGAGTAAGCTTATAGGGTGAGGAGTGGCTGGGCAGGGGCCTGGCTCCTTCCTGGGCATTGCCCTAAGGGTAGCAGGAAGGGTATTTCTTCTATGAAGCTTAGGCATATGTGTACGTGCACATGCATACAAGAGTGTGTGGGGTCTCACTCCTGGCCTGGGCTGGCCTCTCTGAGGATCTGTTCTTTTCTTTCAGCCCAACTGTCTGCTCTTCTTAAAGAGGGGAATACCAAACAGATGACGAATGCCTGCTTTGCCTCTGGGGTCCATGTGAGTTATCAGTCCCTTTGTCCCCTCTGAGGCCCTCAGCACTGATGAGTCCCTAAAATGGGCCTTGCCTTCCCCTCAAGGCCTCTTCCATCCATCCTGCTCCTGCCTGGGCCCATCCTGTTCCCCATCCCAACCCACTTCCTGTCCCTGCCCACTGCTGCCTAGGGCATCCTGAGCAAGGCAGCCCTGAGCAGGGTTTCTCACCTCATTCCAGGGACCTGTGACATTTGGTGACATTCCCTTCTATTTTTCCCGGGAAGAATGGGGGTCCCTGGACCCTGCTCAGCGGGATCTCTTCTGGGACATAAAGCGGGAGAACACCCGGAACGTTGCCCTGGGTAAGCAGTGGGTGCAGCCAGGACCTTAGGATCCTTGGCTCCTCTGAGCTGGAGGCAGCAGCCTCCTTGGGGGTCCCAGCAGCAGAGAGTGGGCCCAGGCAGGCCACACTCCCCTGCACACCCTGCTGGAATCCTCAGTCTTCCTTCCCACCTGCTCCAGCTGCTCCAAAGTGGGCTTTCCCCTGCTCCCTTCCAAGAGCTCTGGCTGATTTCTTTTTTTTGCGTTAATGTTCATTTTTCTCTGCCTGTGAACATTTACGAGGTGTAATCAAACAATACGGTGAAGTTTAAATTAAAAATTATTACAGTAAAAGACACATTGCCATTAATCCCCCCCAAAATACTCCCCCTTGCTTTGGACACACTTATCCCATCGTTCTTGCCACTTCCTGAAGCAGTTCTGGAAGTCCTCTTTCATGAGTGTCTTTAGTTGCGATGTCATGGCTGCCTCGACGTCCTGAATTGATTCAAAATGTTTACCTTTCATGGTCGTATTGACTTCAGGGAAGAGCCGGAAGTCGCACGGTGCCAGATCCAGTGAATAAGGTGAGTGAGGACACACCGTAATGTTTTTTTTCTTTTTTGTTTAAAGACTTTATTGGGTAATTGGGGGAGGGAACAGTGTTGGGGAATCGGGGAAGGAGAACAGACAAGTTGCTGTCCTTTTGTTCTTCAGTCTGGTTGTGGAGGACGTTGCTTCACTGGCCCACGTTGATATTGTGATCATTGCGCTCTTCCCGGCTGAGGCAGATCGGTTGCTGACCATTGGACGGCAGCTCACAGCAGCTCTTGGCAGCTCACTCTGGCTACCGGCCACTCACGCCAGCTGCCAGCCACACACGGTAGCTTATGACAGCCCAATACAGCCCCACTGGAGCCTACACCGTCACCGGCGACTCATGGCAGACCAGCTCTAGGTCAAGCTGTTGTTCACCATCTTAGCTGTAGAGGGCGCAACATCACTGGCCGTGTGGGATCTGAACCGGGGCCCTGCTGCTCAGAGCTCGGGCTCCCAAGCCAACTCTTAACCAACAAGCCACTCGGCCAGCCCCGTAATGTTTTTATTTGACAGAAATTTCCGTACCAGAAGCCATGTGTGACATGAAGCCTTTCCATTGTGATCACAAAATATGGTGAATGCTGCTGCCAAATGCCATCCAGTGGAAAGGCAGGGATCTTCAATACAAGAAGCGATGCATTGAATCTTAGTAACAGTGTTAACAGGTATTATCTTGTTCAGTCCAGTCAGTTGGGTGTGAGCTACAGTTGAGAGAAGGTGTGGTTTTTTTGTTGTTGTTGTTTTTGTTTGGAGAGTTGGAGGAGAGGAACAGTGTTGGGGAATTGGGGAAGGGGACCAGCCAAGTTGTTGTTCTTCAAACTTAGTTGTAGAGGGCACCAGTCGCCATCTGGCTTCCCGTCGGCAGCTCGTGGCCTCCTTAAGCTCAGGGTGCTGTGTAACAATCTTAGTTTCAGGTGGGTGTAGGCACCATCCCATTCAGGAATTGAACCACCAGCCTTGTTGTTAAGAGCGCACGCTCTATCCACTGAGCCATCTGGGTGGCAGTTCAGCTCAAGGTGCCGAATTCAGTCTTAGTTACAGGCGGGCATAGCCCACCATCAAACAGGCAGTCTTGTTGTTAGGAGCATGTGCTCTCACCAACTGAGCCATCCTGCCACTTGTTGGCAGCTCAATGGCAGCTCAGCTCGGGTGCAGCATCACTGGCCCACATGGGAATTGTGGTGGCGGCCCTGTTGCTTAGAGCTTGCACTCTTAAGCTAACTCTTAACTAACTGAGCCACTCGGCCAGCCCGAGAAGGTGTGTTTTAAAGTATGCCATAGATCATGGATCACAAACAACATATTAAATGAAATGGGCAAACAGTTTCATCCTCCATCCTGACAATGCTCTGTGTCACACATCACTTCTGGTATACAACAGTTTCTGTCAAATAAAAACATTACAGTGTGTCCTCATCCACCTTATTCACCTGATCTGGCACAGTGTGACTTCTGGCTCTTCCCCAAAGTCAAAATGACCATGAAAGGTAAACGTTTTGAATCGATTCAGGACATCGAGGCATCAATGACAGTGCAACTAAAGACACTCAGGAAAGAGGACTTCAGAACTGCTTCAGGAAGTGGCAAGAACAATGGGATAAGTGTGTTCAAAGCGAGGGGGAGTACTTTGAGGGGGGTTAATGGCAATGTGTCTCTTATTGTAATATTGTTTTTAAATTTAAACATTCACCATATTGTTTGATCACACCTCATATTAATGTATGATGGGTGCTGACGAAGTGCCAGCACTGTGCTGAGCATTCGTACAGGCATTTTCCATGTGATTCTCACAACCCGGTGCATAAAAGTGTGCCCCCATTTTACAGATGAGGGACCTGAGGCTCAGAGAGGTCAGTGGACACCAAAAGGACAGAGCTGGGACTCGGTCCAAACGGTGGTTGTGAGGCCTCCTAGCCTGCCCCATGAAGAAGTGCTGACAGTGAAAACACATACTGTGTGCCAAGGTGTGGGCCCTGCACATTAGAGGCCACACTCCCAGGGTCCGTTTCTGAGACAGGGCCTTTCTGAGCACACTTTGGGGATCATCTCATTTAATTCACATGACCCAATTGGGTGGGCTAGGATCCCTCTGGATCCAAATGTTTCTTGAGCTTAGAAGACAAGAGCTTGTGTAGCGAAGAACCACGATAACTGAACCCACGTGGTTCCTCAATTTCTGATAAAAGTGAGGGTTTGGATCATTTGTGAACTGAAGCTAAATATATTCAGTTTTGGAGTTTGAATAGCCAGGGTTCAGAGAGTGGGACGTTGGATCCCCGTGTGGAAGGGAGGCGTAGATTGGCAAGGTGTATAATTATTAAGTGCCTCTGCGGCGGGATCAGGCCAACTCCTTGTCTCTGCCTCTGAACTGTTTCCCTGCCTGCCTTTTATCATGCCCCTGTGTTATGGATGAGGAAACGGAGGCTCAGGTCTGTCCAGCCCAGGACTTTCTGAACCTGACAGCCAAGTGCTTGTCCCCCTTCTTTCCCCTAACCCAGTTTCTGCCACGCCTTAGCTCTGGCCCCAGGACCAGGTGGAACTGAAGAGCCTCCTTCTCTCTACTTGCAGGTTTGGGGCTTAAGAGCCAAAGTGAGGGTTCCCGGCTGGAGGAGGCTGTGATGGCGCTCCCGGGCCAGGCGGGCAGCGACGTGACTGTGGCCTGGAGTCCTGAGGAGGCCGAGACTTGGGAGAGCGAGGACCGGCTGGGGGCGACCATCGGGCGGGCAGCGGGGGCGCGGCGGGGGCGGCCGCCCACGCGCCGGCGGCAGTTCCGGGACCTGGCAGCTGAGAAGCCACATAGCTGTGGCCAGTGCGGCAAGCGCTTCCGCTGGGGCTCCGACCTGGCACGCCACCAGCGCACGCACACGGGCGAAAAGCCACACAAGTGTCAGGAGTGCGAGAAGAGCTTCCGCAGCTCCTCGGACCTGGTGCGTCACCAGGGTGTGCACACGGGCCAGAAGCCCTTCTCTTGCTCCGAGTGTGGCAAGAGCTTCAGCCGCAGCGCCTACCTAGCCGACCACCAGCGCATCCACACCGGCGAGAAGCCCTTCGGCTGCAGCGACTGCGGCAAGAGCTTCTCGCTGCGCTCCTACCTGCTGGACCACCGGCGTGTGCACACGGGCGAGCGGCCCTTCGGCTGCGGCGAGTGCGACAAGAGCTTCAAGCAGCGCGCCCACCTCATCGCCCACCAGAGCCTGCATGCCAAAATGGCCTAGCCTATGTATGGGGCGAGGGCTGCGATGAGGGTTGGAGGGGTCTCCCCTGGGGCGAAGCAGCATCATGGCCACCACCCTCCATTGCCACCATCTGCAGCCACCACCCTGCTGCCTGCCCTGCCCTGCCCCAGGACCTGGCCAACACTCCCAAGGAACAGAAATCCCCTATGATCTCCTTGCCATTCTTCCTGCTGTGGGGGGTTTTCTTGCCCTCTGACTTCCTGGAGCCCCAACACATTCCTGGCCAGTGGCCTTAGCGTGGGGAAAGGCTGGGGCAGCAAGGAAGTGTGAGGACTCAGGCAGGGGTTGGGGTCCCCCATCCAAGAACTCCCGCCCTCAGCCTTGCTTGCCCCATGGCTCTTTGTTCCCCACCTTCTTGACTGGGTTCATGGGCCAGGCCCTCTGCCCTGCCAACCTGTGCCTTCCTGCAGGGGTGGAGGACAGGCCTTGACCACCAGGGGCTGCCAGGCTCTGGGACAGACAGCCCACATCTGTGAGGACCTGGGTCCTGAGTGCAGCCAAAAGGGCTTTCTGGCCTCCACCCCCTCCCATTTCCAGGCCATGACTACTCTGCCCTGTCCTGCTGACACAGAAGTGGCCTGCCACCACTCTCCACTGACTTGCCCCTAGGTGAGTCCTTGAGAGTCACCCCTTGCTGAGGTTAGTGGTGGCTCCAGGGACAGGAGGCAGACTGTGCAAACCAAGAACAGAGCTGATAGAAGCCAGCGGCTCCCACCTTTTCCTCCTCCAGAGGCATGGGGTTTATGGTACTTAACACTAGCACTCCGTCAGCACTTTGTTGCTGACTCCTTAGGCACTGCACTCCATGGTGTTGTGTGCATCATCTGCAGATGGGCATTCACAGGGACACACCACAGGCTCTCCAAAGGAGCTCTGTCCAGCCTGCCTCAAAGGGGCAGCAGAGGGCTTGAATAAACATGGAAACTTCCTCCAGGCTGTTTTGTTCTGTAGCTGGCTGCTGGGTGGGCGGTGGTGGTGGGGAACCTAGAATTCACACCCCTGGGCCTCCTGGCCTGGTAGTCCCGGTGGTCACCAGGTAGAGCCACATTCTTGGCTTCCAGGTGCGCTGGGCCCCAGGGAGCAGCCATGAGCCCCACAGCTCTGATCCTCCTGTTGGCCAGTGCCTGCCCTGCCTGGTCTGGGGACAGCTCAGAATGAGATAGCTGGTGGCATCCCTTCCCTCCCTAGCAGGAGAATGGGAATGTTAAGCAGGACTTGGGGCCTTCTCCAGGCCACTGCCTTCCTCCCCATTGGTGAAATGAGGAAACAGGCTTGGAGATGGGATGATTGGTCAGGGTGGTGGTATGCTCATGCTGGTCCCTGTGCTCGAATCCCTTAGGAGAGAAGGCTGCTGAGTCAAAGTGGGTGCTGCCCCCAATTTCCCATCTAGCCCTTGACATCTGACCCCTCCCCTGCCTGGGCCCCAGGTTGGGGCCTGCACAAAGCTGCTGGGCACATGGTCAGAGCTTTAACCCCACTGAGCCCTTCTCGATTCAGCTGGTGGTGGCCTCAGTAGGCTCGCCTGAGGAGTAATGGGACAGGCTGAGACAAGATGTTCTGTCCCCTGGTCTGTGTGCCAGCCTCTCTGCCCCCCAGGCCTCTCCTCAGCCAGGCCCCAGTGAACATTTGCTTCTCCCGAGGGTTCCGTGATGGACCCCACTTCCCAGATAAAGCAACTGTGGTCTCACCATGATAGCTGACTCCAGTTGGGGGTTCCTACTTCCGGGGCAGTGCCCTTGCCCCCCCTTACCTTTGTGCTTAAGGCTGCTGTGTGCATCTGAGTGAGCACCTTGCATGAGTGAGTAAGGATGATGGGTGGCAGCAGCAATGCACAGACTTTTTGGTGCTGGTGGCTGGTTCAGAAGGGAGACATTCGTGTGTAACGAGATCAGATAAGAGGTGACCCAGGAGCTAAGAATAGGATTGGGCATAGGCTTCTGGCTCAGGTGAGGGCATTTCAGTGCCAGCCAGGAAATAGCCTGCTGCACCCAGGGAACAGAGCAGAAACTGGGGGAGTGGAGCCCAGGACCCAAGGTTCCAGGGGGAGGGGTCAGAGTCCAGCTCATCTCATAAACAGAGAAGTCAGGGCTCAGGGGAAGGGCAAAGGTTGGGATCCAGGGCATTGGCACTGGGGCCAGGAGGTGAGCTCCGGGCTTGGAGGAAGTGCCCACCTGGCTCCCATGGCCTTCCTCGTGTCCGGAACGCTGCAGGTGGCTGCGCAGATAGCAGATGCTCAAGATAGCCTGGGAAGAAAGGTAGTGGGAGGCACTTCCAGGCCCAGCCCACTCCTGGCTTCCAGCTGAGCCCCACTCAGCCCAGCTCTGGCCTTGCCTCCCCAGGGGAAGTACAACCTGCAGGGTCCAAGGATGGCCCTGACACTCAGCAGCCCTGAAGTTTTGGCCTCTACGGTGGCTGTCCTGGAGGACGTGTTCCAGATCTTGGGCTTTGAGAGCTGCCAGAGGAGGGAGGCCTCAGTCCAGGTGAGCTCTAGTCTGCCTCCTGTCTCTACCCTCAGCCCCACCTGGGGCCTCCCTGGACCCAGGCCTGCCCTTCACTCTTGCTTTAGGAGTTCCTTGGGGAGCTGACTGGGTTCCGGAAGCAGCTGGATGCCCATGGGGGCCCTATGGGTTGTGCCCTAGTGGCCTTGGTGGCCCTCAGTGGGCAGCTGAGGCAGCCGCAGCAGCTGGTCAGGGAGCTGAGCCGCTGTGGAGCCCTGCGGGGTTGCCCCAAAGTCTTCCTGCTGCTTTCAAGCACTCCTGGGGGTGAGTGGCTGGGCAGGGATCCTGGGTTGTGGGGCAGGGCAAAATGGGGGTGGGGTGGGCACAAGGCTGAGACCCTCCCTCTAGGCCAACACTCTGCTTCTCCACCCAGGTGCCCCTAAGCCTAGAGCCTTCCTCACTGAACTGGGTGAGCTCTGTCGCCGCTGTTCTCACTGGTCCCTGCTGCAGCTGCTTACAGAGGTGGGGGCCCCAGATGGGGAGTCCCAGGGAGGGGGCCGTGTTGGTCACCTTCCCTGAGCCCATTACACAGATACATTCACATGTTTTCCACCCATTCATTCTATAAGACCCTTGTACAATTCATTGCACCATGGTGTCAGCCTTGGGGCCTCACCTCCCACCCCTATCCATGTCCCTCCTCACACCCACTCAGGATCCCCCAGACATTCCCAATATCGCAACTCCGTGCCTTTGCCCCAGCTGCTCCCTCTGCTTGCCCTGCCCTCCCTGTTGTCCCAGCCAACCTTATACAGTCCCTTCCAGTCTGTCTACAATGTCCTTCCTTGTGCTCCCTGAATCAGCACTTATGCTTCTGCCCACCCCCGTTTACACTCACCCAGGCAGTGACTGTTCCATCAGACTGCAGATCCCTGGAGGCCAGGATTGGGAATGATTCAGGTCTGATCCCAAAACCCAAAGGTCTTACTAGACAGTTGGGTGGCCCTGGGTGATCTTGCAGGTGAGGGACCTCGGCTCTGCTCCACAGCTGACCCCAGCCTAGTGCCTTCCCCTGAAAGGCAGTGGTTAACCGTATGGCCACTTTGTCATCCTTGTCCAGGGAAGCCTATGACCTTCAGCCTGAAGTAAATCATCCTGTACCCTCCCCCTCTTTCATCTGTCTCCTCTTCCCTCCGTCTGGCAGGGGACCCCAAAGGCACTGTAGTAGCTATGAGTCTGGCCAAGCCATATCTTGGAGCCAGGTCCCCTCGTGCCCCCATGGAACAACTCCCTGAGGGTTCTCTGGCCCCACCCTCCCCAGGTCTTCTGCAGGATGGCTGAAGAGTCCTCAGGGGCTACCTACTGCCCAGTCCTTCGGAGCTCTTTGCGGGGGGCACTGTGCTTGGGGGATGTGAAGCCCTGGAGGCCCAAGGTGAGTGGGACATAAGGGGGTATCCAACCATGTGGCAGCAGTGGCAAGTGGAACAGAGGCTCAGGGAGACCTGAGGTGGGGGAGGTGAGGAGCTAGGAGGTCCTCAGACCACTATCAATGCACCTTAACTTGTCTGTAGCCAGAACCCAGCTTCAGCGCTCAGTATGATCTATCTGGGACCAGGGCTGCCCTCCTCCTAAGTGTGATGCTGGACCGGCCTGGGGCCCAGCATGACGTGAAGGCACTGAGGGACCTGTGCCAGGCCCTGGGCTTCGAGACCACACTGAGGACAGACCCTACAGCCCAGGTGAGGGGAAGCCTAGAACCTCTGGTGGTGCTCTCAAGGAAGGCAGCCCCACCCCAGGACCCTGGGGACTCTCTCCTGGGCCTCTCGCCTATAGTGGGCAGGAAATGCATCCCCCAAGTCTAGTCTCCATCCTCCCTGCTGCATGCACTTCCCTTCCTCTGGAAGCCAGGTCTCCAGGGCTCCTGCAGCTTCGCATCCTGGTCATTTCTCTGCTATCCCTCTCAAGGCTCTAGCTGGACCCTTGGGCTTTTCCTGGAAGGGTCTCAGGTTCTTTTCCAGACACCCATCAACTCACTGCCCTCCCTTCTTTGCTCTTAACTTTTTGGCACCAGAGAACCAGCTGCAGGAGTTACCTCCAATGAGGCCATGTCAGGCCTTGTATCAGGGTGGTTATAAGGACTTCCTCCCTGGGCCTGAGGCTGGTGGGAGGTGGGAGGTAGGGTGGGTGGGGTTTGGAGAAGCCTACCTTGCAATTCTCCAAGTACTGGGGAGACAGTGGCCCTGGCCCAGGCCTCAATCTCGTCCGGCCCCACCCAGGCTTTCCAGGAGGAGGTGGCCCAGTTCCGGAAGCAGCTGGATACCCACAGGGGCCCTGTGAGCTGTGCCCTTGTGGCCCTGATGGCTCATGGGGGGCCTCAGGGGCAGCTGCTAGGGGCTGACGGGCAAGAGGTACAGCCAGAGGCGTTGGTGCAGGAGCTGAACTGCTGTGGGGCCCTGCGGGGCCGCCCCAAGATCTTCCTGATCCAGGCTTGCCGTGGGGGTGAGTGAGGTCTGAGGTCTGGGGCCCTCCCTGGAGGCCAAGCCAGGTCCTAGCCTCCAGCCTGGCTTCTCCTGCCCTAGATTTTCTCATCCAGCCCTCAGCCTCCCAGGACTTGTTGTCCACCTCCTCCAGGAAGCCTGAGCACTAGCCCTTTCTGCACTCCCTTTCCCAGCTTCTCCTAGAGGTCAAGCCCATGAACTTGAGCATTTTACCCTCAGCACATGTCATTCAGCGCTCTGAATGTTTCCAGCCTGGCAGGCCTGACCTGGAGTTCTGGGGGCTGTGGTCTGGATCCCTGGAAGCATCTCCAGGTGTCTGTTAAGTGAAAGAACCTGCCTGTGCTCTCCTTCCCCAGGTCACAGGGACGCCGGCATGGGGCTCATAGCTCTCCCTTGGTTCTGGCGCTGGCTGCAGGCACCACCAGCCATCCCCTCCTATGCTGATATCCTCCAGATCCATGTGGATGCCCAAGGTGGGTCTGCCTTTCTTCTGGAGCCTGGGCTTGGGTAGGTCTGATGGGGGGAGCTGTCCAGAATGCATTTCCAGGACTCTGAGCTAGGGTCCTGCTCCCACTTCTGTCCTCTCTTTGCCAAGAGGATGGGAAAGAAAACCATCTTAAACTACAAGGGTCTTTGCAAAATCGAGGGCTTCTCTCCCCCTTTCCCCACCCTGCCCTGCCCACTTGAGTCAACTCTGGAGTTAGGAAGGCGAAATACCTTTTCTGAGGTCACACAGCTAAGTGGCAGGGCTGAGAGTTGAACTCTGATCTGTCTTTCCTGCCCTGTGCTGTCCTTGAGCCAAACTTGGGAGACACCGGGGGCTGCTGGAGTCCTAGGATGCTGGGTAAATGGAATTGATCCCTCTTGCAGGCAGCTCTTCCAGCGGCTTCACTCCAGGGAACTCTGACATCCTGACGGTCTACGCAGCCACTGAGGGTAAGGGGACAGGTCATAAAGAAGCCCTGTTACACAGAGCCTAGCCTCCTGGCTAGAGGTCTGGAGTGACTTTTAAGGGCAGCCGGGGCTTGTCATTCGGGGCACAGGGGCACCAGTCCAGTTGCCATCTTCCTTTCATGTTTGTTATTTATAATAATAGTAATACTGGTAAGCATGCATTGCAGGCTGACTTTGCCAAGCACTGGACCTGCATCGTTCCCTCCAGGCTGTAAGTTCCATGAGGGCAGGGCAGTTCTCTCTGCCTCAGGGCCCTGCCCAGTACCTGGCATGTAGTAGGGTCACAGTGAATGTTTGTTCACTATTGAATTTATTGGATATTACTCCGCAAATATCAAGCAACAACTTGTTCCAGAAGCAAGAAGTCCCACTCCCTGCTCCCTTCCCTTGCCTGACCCCTCGAGTTCCTGTGTACTTGCCCCCCACTTCCACCACCATAGGCCCCTGGGGATTGGAAGGCAGCTGGTCAGCTGGAGTCTGACGCTCTGGCCCTGATCCCCCCCTGTCATAGGCTGTGTAGCCTATCGGGATGAGAAGAAGGGTTCAGACTTTATCCAGACGCTGGTGGAAGTCCTCAGAACTGATCCCAGGGGAGACCTCCTGGAGCTGCTGACAGAGGTGTGTGTTGGGGGATGCAGGCTGGCAACAGGGGGAGAGATTCCTTTTAAGCAACCTTGGTGTTCTGATCACCTCCTATGCACCCTGTTGGTGAAGGAGGGATCCCCTGCCCTCAATAGTATAAGTATAAGATGGCCAAGCACACAACACCCACAGAAGTCTTTAGTCACATGTACTCACAGGCTGGGGAGAGAATGCTGCAGGCCAGGCAGGGCCACTCATGTTGCCCTTGGGAACAGAGTGAACCAGAACTGGAGCAGGGGGCTGCAGGCTTTGTAGTAACTGGTGTCTACAGGAGGTAATTAGCTTCAAACAAGCTATTCAAACAATAGTTTTGCGGGCTGGCAGGGAACTGAAGCCCCTCAGATTGAGGACAGGGTGGAGTGCAGCTGGTCTGGCTGGTGGGGGAACTAGCCAGGTGGGGAGACTTTCCTGCTGGGTGTGGGGCATATCTGAAAGGGCAGGGGGACTCATGGTTAGTCCTTTGAAGTCCTGTGAGGACCAAAGATATCAAGGCAGCACTTGAAATTTTAGACCTTACAATACACTGGGTTTCAGGCTGGGTGCCAGGAGACCCGGGAGTCCTGGGCACAAGCTGAGTGTGGTCCTCGCAGGTCAATCGTCAGATGTGTGAGCTGGATGTGCTGGGTCCCGACTGCGATGAACGTCGTAAGGCCTGCCTGGAGATCCACAGCTCGCTGAGGCGCCGGCTCTGCCTGCAGGCTTGACTTTGCTCACAGAAACCCGGTTAGTGCTAACAAAGAGTGGCCACACCCCATTGCCACCACTGACTCCATCCACCTCTCAGTTACCTCCCTGTAAACGGGGCATCACGGCAGGGCGCTGGGCTCACCTGGGATGCAATAAACAAGTGTTAATGAGCGTTGCACATGTGACTAGCGTCTGCTCTCAGGGAGGTGGGACAATAAGTATGAAAAGTGCCTGGCACTTCGTAAGGGCACATTTGTGCCCCTGGGAAGCAGAGCTGGGCCTGCAGGGAATGGGAGGACAGCAACATCCGAGATTAAGGAACCCAACATGGGCTAGGCTGAGCTGGATGACCTGGGAAGAGGCAGCCCAGGGTTTTGACATCGTTCAGCACACGCGCCCCACCTACACGCTGCGCTGTGCGATGGAAATACAGGAGACGCGGTATCTGCCCCAGGAGACTGGGGCCACAGGACTGCAACAGAGCTTTGCAGGTTTGGCAGTGTTGTGATGGGAGAAGCACAGGGGCTGAGAGCAGTGGGCAGCTCCTGACGCAACGTGGGTCGGGAGCACGTAGGGAAAGACATCCAAAGGGTCCTCTCGGGGCTGGAGGGGCCTGGGCGGCCTCTCTGAGACTCGAGCTCATAACCACAGGCTGGAGCGAGCTGTATTCAGGTAGCTAGCTGTCAGTGCTCAGTTTAGCGCAATAGCCCAATTCCAAGCCTCACCCACACGGAGCCTGGGGGGCGGAGCTCTTTTGGACTCTGAGCATGCGCATTGATACACACCACGCAGGCGCCTGTACAAGCTTTATGAGAAAAGCTGCAGGACCGCTTATTGCAAGGCCGCGTGGCCTAATGGATAAGGCGTCTGATTCCGGATCAGAAGATTGAGGGTTCAAGTCCCTTCGTGGTCGCTGCTGGACTTCGTTTTTCTCTCTCTGCGCAAAATTTACCCCCTCTCAGGATTGCTCCCTGGCTCAGGTTTGGGATCCTCCGGGAGTGCCACCCTCCGGTCCTCCTGACTATGTGGAAGCAGTTCTGCACCTGCAACCACAGAGTTCGGCACTCAGGGTCAGGATTGCACCCAAGGCAACTGCCAGGGCACTGCCAAGACTAACTCTGGTGGGACCCGGACGGACTGCAGATCGTGAAGCCAACGGTCCCTCCTCCCAGGAGCCCACTGGGAATGGGTTACAGGAAATATGTATAGTTCAAAAGAAGAGAACTGTAACAGAGAGGAGTTGGATTGTTGATAGGGGGTCCGGGTACGGTAGTTGCCCCTGGGTGCATTTAAAAATATAACAGAGGTTTGGGTATAGATAATGGTAATGGTTGCACAATATTGTGAATGTAACTGATGACACTGAATTTTACATTTAAAAATGGTTAAAATGGCAAAGTTAATTACCGTATTTCCCTATGTATAAGACACTCCCATGTATAAGACACCTTAATTTTGGTAACCGAAATTTGAGAAAAAAAATGTATTAGATAAAGTTATTGAACTCAAGTTTTATTCGTCATAAAATTCATACAACTCCTCATCACTTGC